ACAGGGTGATGTCTTGACCTGCAAGTGAATTAGATTTAAGTGAGGCAGAGTTGCACAAAGTTGTCTGCCTCACTCTTTCTTCCTGAGTCATCAAAGTCCAGTGCCAAGACAAAAGTCAAGATGATGACCAGGATGCAATAGACGACTTTGGCGTCTGACCAAGCTCTAAGCACTCCACATTGCCTGCTTCAGCTGCTTTCATGGCTGTTGGAATAAATTGTTCTCCTCCATACATTCTGCCAGCGAAAGTCTTCACATGCTTGGGGTAGACACTTCACTAACTCACCACTGGGTCTGAGGACCACTGGTTACCCTCACCCTGGGTTAGCATGTCTGCCAAGATGGTTTTACCAGGGTATGGCCGATGCACATGCTACAGCTTCTTGGAGTCACAGGTGAGAGTTCCGTGGCAGGTGGAGACCAAAGGTAGATGTGCTGCACTGAAAAATACTTGGCAAGCCCTCACACCAGAGGTACTAGGCCCCTTTGAACACCCCACAGGATAAATAGGAAATAATTAAAAGAGGGAGTCAGCAGAATTAAGAGGGGTTGGAGAAACCTTCGCATAAAAGATGGGATTTTAAAGGAAGCCAGGAAAGTCAGGTGAAGGCAAGGAGGGAGAGTGTTCCAGACTTGGGGGACAACCAGAGAAAATGCCTAGGGCCAAAAAATGGAGTGTTTTGTTTATGGCTAGGAGGTGAGTGTCACTGGGTCAAAGAGTTGGGGAATAAGGTGTAAAAAGTTTGGAGAGGCAGAAGGGGACCAGGTTATGAAGGGCTCTAAATGCCAAATAGACCATTCTGGTGTTGATCCCGGAGTTGATAAGGAGCCACTGTAGTTTATTGGAGGTTGGGAGTATGACACGATCAGACCTACACTTTAGGAAAATCATGTTAGCGGCTGAATGGAAAATGGATTCCAGTAAGGGAAGACTTGGAGCAGGCAGATTTACCTGCTGAATATTTCAATAGTCCAGGTGTGAGGTGATATGGGCACCTGCTAGAGTGTCAGGAGAGAAGGGGGCGTTTTTGAGAGATGTTCCAAAGGTGAAATGGACAGGCCTTGGTAACAGCTTGGATATGAGGGGTGAGAGCTAATGAGGAACCCAGGATGACTCCTAGGTTGAGAACCTGAGGGCCTAGCAAAGTGACCTTTACCCTTCTGTAAAATTTCCTATCTGCAAAACAAGGGGTTCGGATTAGATGACCTCTGGGGTTCTTTCCAGCTCAGAATCTGTGATCTAGTAACCACGTGTTGAGGGTGTTGCAAAGAAAATTCTGTCACCGAATGGGAGATTCCAGAATTGAAGAATCTCTGAGTTAGAAGGGACCTCTTTATAATCTATCTTCCTTCTGAGCTTCGTAATAACTCCCAGACTTGTCTGTCCACCTCTAGTCAACTTGGGAGTGCCTGGTTTGGGCCATGTGACTTTTTATCAATGGCTTGGATAAATATAGAGGGACATCCTTATCAAATCTGCAGATGAACCAAAAAAAAAAAAAACAAAACAAAACGAAGAGGGATAATTGGCACACTGAATGACAAAAGTAGGGTCTAGAAAGATTTTGACAGCTAGGATCTCCAGATTCAATAAGGTGGAATTTAATAGGGACAAATACAGTCTCAAAATTGGATTTAAAAAAATCACCTTCAAAATACATAATAGAGAATGTATAGTGAGATGGCAATTTAGCTAGAAATGATCCAGGAGTCCTCATATTGTGTGGTCTCAGTACAGTTCAGCAGTATGATATAGCACCTGAGAAAGAAGATACAATTTATGGCTGCTTTCAAAGAAGTATAGTTTCTAGGAATAAGAAGGGATAGTCCCTACTGTGCTCAGCTCTGGGCTCTGGGAAGGACAGTGGTAAACTGGATAATTTCCTAAGGAGAGTGAAGCAGAATTGTGAAGAAGCTGGAGTGCATGCCATAGAATTATTTGAATAAATTTGAGATGTTTAACTTGGAAAAGAATAGACTGGTAAGACAGGGGTGATAACTATCTCTGGGTACTTAAAAGGTGGTTTTATGGCAGAGGGATTAATCCAACTTGTTCCACTTGACGCTGGCTAGCAGGTGTAAGAGCAATGGGTAGAAGGCAGAAAGAAGCATAAGAGGTCAGAAAAAAAAGTCCTACAAATTACAGCTATCCAAAAGGGTAGTGGGTTACCATAGGAGAGAATGGGAGAGCTCTGAAACAGGGAGACCAATAAGGCAGTTATTGCAATAGTCCAAACATGAGGGGATAAAGACCTGTAGCAGGGTAGTGGCTTCATGAATGGAGAAAAGGGTATGTATACAAGAGGTGCTGGAAAGGTAAAAGCAATAATTATTGCCAACAGATTGGGTTTATGGGGTGAGTGTGAATGAGGAGTGTAATGAAAGGATGACACTATGGTAGTGGGCCTGGGATAATGGTAGGCAGTAAGGATTCCATACTATATAACCCTGAATAATCACTCAGCCATGCCCTCTGGAGCAACATGAAATGTCTTCTCTTTCCCATAATGCCTTTGTAGGTATTTAAGGCACTGAGCATGAGGAATGGAAGTCTAGTACTGGAGACATCTCATGTTTCAGAGGACACTTTCAGAGAAGGAAGACTACGCAGCTAGTGTCAATGCCAGGCCTACACTCAAGGCTCCTTATTCTAGTTCAAGCACTACTATATCAAGAGCTTTAAAAATATCTATTATGGCCTTCTTCCTTTCCAGTCTAAACACACCTATTGTATAAAGCACTTTCTTTATGACCACCCTGTGAGATGGGTACTCTGGGTATCAATATTCTCGTTTTATAAATAAGGGAACTGTGGTTCAGCAAAGTTAGTTTGGCTTGTTCTAGGTTACCAGGCTACTAAGTATCAAATTCTGAATTTGGACCCAGATTTTCTGCCTCTAGGTTCATTGTTCTTTTCTTTTCTGTTTTGTTTTGTTTGGTTTTTTTTTTTTTAGGAAATTGGGGTTAAGTGACGTGCCCAGGGTCACACAGCTAGTAAGTGTCAAGTGTTTGGTCTGAGGCCAGATTTGAACTCAGGTCCTCCTGCCTTCAGGGCCAGTGTTCTATCCACTGTGCCACCTAGCTGCCCCTCTTTTTTTTTTAACATTTAATTTTTACTTTTTTCCTCAATTACTCCTTGTTCTTTCCATTGCACTACAAAATTGTTTCTAGAACCTACTAAAAAAAATCCTGAGATTTACATTGATAAGTCATTAGTCATTATTATGGTGTAGGTATATGAAAAAAAATCTAGTTGGACTTGATTTGTCCAGTGAGGTCCCTTCTCTCTGTGTGCTTGTGTGACTTAGGTCCAGTGTTCTTCTGAATACTGTCATAATTTAGAGATGTCCTTCTCTTCAAGCAGTCGGTGGCTATGAATTGCTGTGAATGTGATGCAAGAACTCACGCGCTCCTAATTGTTGAACTGGAGAGTCCCCTACAGACAGGAGTGTGCTAGAGCTCACTTGAATGGCCTCAGGAAAGCCACTGTTAAATTTTCTATGGAAGCTTTTATGCCTCAGAAATTAGGAAATTTTGCAGACCATGGCGAAATGCATTGTTTGGTCGATTGCCTAGAATTAAGAAAGTGTTGGTAATGCAGATAAAATTTAAAAGTGTGTCAAGAGTAATTCCTTCCCTCCTCTCAGAGAGTCAGTTGTTAAAACATTTACCAGCATAACCCTGGACACAGCTCATAAATATCACAAGGGTCAAATCCGGATTTTTGATTGACTCTAAGTTATGAGCTCTTTCTACTTTCCTGACCCCCCGGTCTCTTTTCCAAGCTGAAAAAAGCTTTCTAGTCTGAGTCTGGCAACAAACCATGGATCTCTCATGTGGCTAACAACCTTACTAAGTTCAGAGGCTCATCACCAGGGTGGTTGGCCTAGGTGAAGAAAGGTTTTTCTGTTTTGTTTTGGGTTTTATTTGTTTTTTGGTCAAAGCAACACACAAAGACAATCTGTAAGGTGTCATGTAGTTGTGATTTGTTTTAAGGGAGGGAATTCAAGTGTTAAATATATAGACTGGAGAGGGGCTGAGAATCACTTTGATCTTCCAGATAGTCATAGAATCAGAGACCAGGAGAAATGAAAGGGACCTCAGAGGTCACCTAATTCAGTATCTTCCCTTTATTGCCAATAAGTGTCAACAATTATGGGACACCCACTGTATACAGAGTATATCATGGGATGTTTTGGGAGCACACAAAGGAAGAAAGAGACTGCCTGTTCTTGTGGAAATTATAATTTGATGGGGATATGGGATAATAAGAACAATAATAACAATAATAACAATAAATATATTAGCATTTATATAGCGAGTTTAGGTTTTGCTAAGCGCTTTACAAATATGATCATATTTTATCCTCAGAATAACCTGGAGAGGTAGGTGCTATTACTACCCTCATTTTATAGATGAGGAAACTGAGACAGACAAACGCTAAATGACAAATCCAGCCAGGGTCACATAGCTGGATAAGTGTCTGAGGCCAGATTAGAACTCGGGTCTTTCTGACTGCAGGCCCAACACACCATCCATTGCACCACATGAAGCTACAAGCATCCATCTAATCACTTTCACACTGATCACAACCAGTACACAGAGATACATACAAAGCATCTAGGAGTTTGGAATGTGAGACAGGATTAGTTAATTATTGAGTTTTGTGGAAATGTTGAATCTAAAGTAGTGGGGTTTTTTGGGTTTTTCTTTTGTTTGTCTTTTTGTTTGTTTGGATGGAGGAGAGATGTGAATCCAAAGAGGAGGGAAGAAGGAAAACCAATGTGTAAGAAGTAGTGACGAAAGTTCTATGTAAGAAATGCCCAGCATGTGAAGGAAACCCCCCAACAAGGCATTCCACTGGGGCCAGCAGAAACAGAGGTTGACCAAGAAGAGTCTCTAGGACTTCATTTTTTAAAAATAATTTTTATTTTTTATTATTAACTTAAACATCAACAAACATGAATATACAAATATACAAAGAATAGAAAAAAGGATTGTATATGAGATTTAACTTTCTTTAAGTGTATATTAAATTTAACTTAGTAAAAGAGTCAAGAGACTTCACAAAGCTCTAGACTGATTCTCACCTTCAGCAATTCTCTACCCTACCCTGAGAGAAATCCACCATATTCCCAGAGGTGGACCCTCCTAAACCTGGGATACTGAGTTCAGGAGCACCTTTGTCCCTCTTCTACTATCAGGATGACTAGTGGGAATTAAGAGTGGATTAGATGAGAATTCCCCAGGATCATACAAGAGAATTAAGGGGTCTTTCTTAATTATACATGGGAGGCAGATAGCAATTCTACTACCAGTTCCCTTTCTTGTTATTTACACTGCCTTTATAGCTTAATTGACTGCTTTGGGATGAGTATCTCTTGAATAGTCTGGCAATAGAGAATGTTGTACTAGATGGGAGATGAGGGAATAATTTGCATAATAGATTACTTCAAAATAATCACACTGAATTTGGGGCTCCAGAGTCCGAGTTCTGAGATAAGAAGTTTCAAAGACCTCATTATTTTGTGGGGACTCTCGATTATGTGTGGATTGAGGCTATTTGGGTGGTAATTATGTTTTAACCTGTCAGGCTGCACTATGGCTACCTGCTTTAGCCTTGCAGGGATTCTTGGAAGACTTTATTGGGATGGAGGGGTACAGTATCTCTAGGCTACATTTATATTTCCAGTTATACAGGCAGTTATGCAGTTTCCTTTCTTGGAGCATAACTGGATATAAAGTCATGGCACACAGGCATGGACTGCCCAGTTCTCTGACTGGCAGGAAGGCCCGAGTTCAGTGCTGGGAAATGGTCACTAAAATCTCAGGAGAAGCAGAGAATCACAGAAGTTTGGGGGGCTTTATCCCAATAGTCTTAGAAGCCACTGTAGGCTGGCTCTCTTCGTGCTCTGGCATCAGGCTTGGGTTTCAGAATTCAAGGAAAGATTTCCACATAATCATCACTGTTGACATTCACTGACAAGAAACAGGAGAATAAACAGTGAGGGTTTACAGCCATCCCAAGGCCCCCATTTTGGCAGCCTGGAGTATGTAACCTTCTAGAAGCAGTGAGGTGGAATAGTGGATGAAACTAATGGGCCTAGAGGCAGGAAGGCCTGAGTTCAAATTTAGCCTTAGACCCTTACTATTTGTGTGCCCCTGGGCAAGTCACTTAACTTCTGTATGCCTCAATTTCCTCAACTGTAAAATAGATATCATATTAGCAGCTCCCAGAGTTATTCTGTGGATCAAATGAGATAATATTTAGAAAGCACAGCACAATACCTGGCACATTTGTTGTTGTTCAGTCATTTTTCAGTCATGTCTGACTCATGATCCCATTGGGATTTTCTTGGCAAAGATACTGGGATTGCCATTTCTTCTCCAGCTCGGTTTATAGACCAGGAAACTGAGGCAAACAGGGTTAAGTGACTTGCCCAGGTTTACACAGCTGGTAAGTGTCTGAGGCCAGATTTGAACTTGGCAAGATGAGTCTTTCTAATGCCAGGCCCAGTGCTCTATGCACTACGGTGCCACTTAGCTGCCCCAACACAAAGTAAGTGCTTAATTAATGCTTGTTTTGCCTTCTAGAGGCAAAACAGACCTAACTCTCATCATAGGCTAGGAAATAAGGCTATTTATCTTACTTCTAAAGTGAGGAAGCTGAGGCTCAAAGAGGATCTACAACATACTAGAAGCCATAAATCTTTCACACCAATGCCAACCTTGGGCAAGTCACTTAACCCCATTGCCTCACCCAAAATAAATAAATAAATAAATAAATGAAATCTTTCACACCACAGCCTGGAGCAATGCTCCTGATACTCAGGATAGTATCTGTCGTAAATGGGGATTTTGGGTTTTTAAACACGAGGGCTCTTACCATAATCATCATCATCCAAAGCAGCCGGTGCCGGTGGATTTCTCTGACTCTGGTATACATTATTTTTCTCTACTGGATAACGAAGATGAATCACTAGTCCTTGATTTGGTTTTTCATATTTGGAGATTAGTTCTTTCAGGTTTGGAAATAACACCTTTTTAACACCTTCTGTTGTCTGTAAGGATAGAAAACAGAGCAGTCATTGCTGTGCCACTGCTAAATGGCATCTCTCTAAAGAGAAGCAGATTGAAGGTAGAGCAAGGAGCCAGCATTTCTGGCTTGAAAATTGACTTTTGCTTATATTAATGTTGGTCCATTTTAAGGCTGAAGCCTTAACTTGGTCACTGGAGAAGTAAACAGTGAACAATTATCAACCAATAAATCATTCAATAAAAGTTTTCTGTATCATATACCCCTCCTAGATTGCAAGTTCCATGAAGACAATGGCTAATAGTGTTTTATCCAAATTTTGTATGTCCCACAATGCCTAGCACAGTCCTCTACACACAGCAGGTACTTCATAATTTTTTGTTGAATTGAATAGAAAAAATATTCATTGCCTAATAATATCTATTTCATTCACTGGAGTTCTGTTATGAAGAAATAAACTAGTCATATCACTCCTCAGAACCCTTCAATGGGCTCATATTAGGGCAGCTAGTTGGTATTTAATAAGATGTGGAGTCAGGAAGCCCTCAGTTCAAATCCTGCTTCAGATACCTACTAGCTGTGTGGCACTAGGAGGGTCACTTAACTTCTGTCTGCCTCAGTTATTTTACTTGTAAAATGGGGATATTAATAGCACCTACCTCCCAGACTTGTTGTGAGGATCAAATGAGATATTTGTAAAATGTTTTATAAGCCTTAAAGTGCTATATACATGTTAGTTATTATTATTTTTGCCTACTGAATAAAGCCCAAACCCTTAGCCTATAATTCAAAGCTCTTGGGAATTCTTGATTCAATTCAATTCAACAACAAAATATTAAATGAATACTATATGTGAAGCACAATACTAGATAAGAGGATATGGAGACAAAAAAAAAACTATTCCTGCCTTCAAGGATCAATTCTATTGGGTGATACAACGTGTATTCAGATAAGGACATATAAGATCATCAGAGGTGGAAGAGAGCAGTAAGAAGCATTGGTATCAGAAAAGGTTTCCTTTAGGGAATGGCTCTTGAACTGAGCACTGAACCAAACAAAGGATTCTAAGGAGGTGAGGGGAAAGGGAGTGTGTTGTAGACATGAGGAAGAAACAGCCTGTGGAAAGGCAGATGTAGAAGATGGGCTACAACATTTGGGGGCATAGGAAGTAGACCTATTTAGCTGCACCACAGAGTATGTGAATGAGCGTAATATGAAATAAGTCTGGAAAAGTAAGTTGGAGCCCAATTGTGAAGAACTTTGTATGTCAAGCTGAAGGGTTTGCATTTTTTTTCCCTTGAGGCAATGGGAAGTCACTGAATATCTTTGAGCAGGAAAGTGACATAGGGAGATCTGTTCCTTAGGAAGATGATTTTTGTTTTCTTTCTTTTTTTTTGTAGGCAATGGGGTTAAGTGACTTGCCCAAGGTCACACAGCTAGTAGTGTCAAGTGTCTGAGGCTGGATTTGAACTCAGGTCCTCCTGACTCCAGGGCCAGTGCTCTATCCACTGAGCCACCTAGCTGCCCCCAGGAAGATGATTTTTGGCAGCTTTGTGGACGATAGATTGGACAGAGTTAAAAATGGAAGGAGAAAGGGAAGCTATTATGATAGTCCAGCTAAGAGACAGAGAGCAGTTGAATTATAGCAGTGGTTGTGTGAGTGGAGACAAGGTGACAGATCAGAGAGGTATTACTGAGGTTGTATTGAATAGGCGTGGTGGTTGATTGGATATAGGAATGAAGGAAAGGGAAGAGTTATGATGTCTCCAAAGTTGCCATCATGGGTGATTGGAATGTGTTGGTTGTACCTTCAAAGAGTAAAAGGAAAGTTTATAGAAGGGGCAGGTGGGGAGCAAGGGGAAGAAGAGAAGTGAAATGAGTTCCATTTTGGACTTAGGGTTTTTGAGATATTTCTCAGACATCCAGGTGGAGATATCCAATAAATAGCTGATGATATGGAACAGGAGTGTAGATGGGATATTAAATACTGGAGCTACAGAACTGGAAGATCATTCAAACCATAGGAATTAATGAAATTGCCAAGAAAGAGAGTATAGACAAAGAAGAGAAGCAGAGCCTTGATCAGTTAGGGGACAGGAAATGGATGATGATATAACCAAGCAAACTGAAAAAGATACTCACAAGGTAAGAGAATGGACAGTCTAGAGAGGACAGAATCATGGAAGCCAAAAGTATTTATGTTTTATTTTGTGGTACAGATATTTGTGTATATGTTATACCTTGTTGTTACACTTGCTTCAATAGATTCTTCCCCAGAAGCTAAAAATATAGTGACAGTAAATGATGTTAGCACAGTTTAAAAAATAGGGAACAGATAATTACATTTTAGATGGATTTTTCTAAAAAGGTTTAAAGCTAACAGACTTTTCTTCTTGAACCTTTGATAACTAAAAGATTCAGTGGCCTTCTACATGCAGATATAGGTAAAATTTTATTATCCTGAAAACTCTGAAATGCCTTACCCTAGTTTTTTCATTGAATTTTATTTTTTCAATTTTACAGAACTTGACTTTCTCTTCCTCTTCTCAACACCCCCTCCCATTACCACCTTTGGGGGAAAAAAGAAAACCAAGACTCTCATAACAAATATGCATAGAAGGACAACAAATTCCACATTGGCCACGTCCAAAAAAATATATATCTCATTCGGTACCCTGGGTCCACCACCTCTTTGTCAGGAGGTGAGTAACATAGTTCATCATCAGTTCTCCAGAACCATGGTTGGTCTTTGTAATTATCAGAGGTCTTTCAAAGTTGTTTGTTTTTTACAATATTGTTATTATGTAAGTTGTTATCTTTATTCTTTTCACTTTGCTCTGCATCAGTTCACAGAACTCTTCCCAGGTTTCTCTAAAACCATCCATATCATTATTCTCATAGCACAAGAATATTCTGTTACACAACAATTTGTTTGCCTATTCCCCAGTTCTTTGCTACTACAAAAAGAGATGCTGATGAGTATTTTTGCACATATGGTTCCTTCTTCTTTTTCTTTGATCCCTTTTCAGTAGAGGCTTAGTGAAGGCATTGCTGGGTCAAAGGGAGGTAAGCATAGTTTCATGACTTTTGGGGCAGAGTTCCAAATTACTTTCCAAAATGGTGGTAACAACTCACAGTTCCAGCAATAGCGCATTAATGTGCCCACTTGCTTTCTCATAATAGTTCCTCCCATATCAACTGTTTTGATCCGATGGCTGTGAGGTGAAAACTCAGAATCGTGATGCTCCTTTTCCCATCTCTGTGCCTTCACACTGGCTGTTCACCAAGTGTGGAACTCATTTGGTCTTGCTCCTCTGCCTTAGAATTCCTGGTGTTCCTCAAGATTCAGCTCCAGTGCTCCTTTCTACAAGATGCCCTTCCTCATCCCTCTAGCGTTTAGTGCCCTTCCCACCAATTACTTTGTATTTATTTTCTATGTGCCCATAAATGTATAGCTTGTCTCCTCAAAAGAATGTAAATTCCCAGACGTTATACTCATGTTTTTGTATCCCCAGTCTAGTATAGTGCCTGGCACGTAGTAGGTAATTAATAAATGTTTACTGATTGATTGAATGAACCATAATACCACACTCTCAAGCATTCTGATTCATCAATATGTGTCCATCTAAAAAGATAACTTCAAATAGCTCCCCATCCTAGTAGCGTTTACAATCTTCTCAATCTTCCTTTTCTATCAGCTACTCTGCTCAGTAAAAAATGGCAAAAACAAATAGGAATTTGCATTTCTGGTCATTTGATTCTGAAAGGGAGGAGAAATAAGTGATGACAACTTGAGGGGATGGTAGGAGTGAAATTTTTTAATGATGCTACCTGGGCATAAATGTAGGCAGTCAGAAAGAGCTGGTGGACAAAGAGAATCTGAAGATAAAAGAGCAACGATGATCAACAGAGAAGATAGAAAAGGAATGAAATCAAGGGTACAAGCACAGAGGTTGACCTTGGTAATAATAATAGTGAGCATTTATATATACTTTGAAAATTTTATTTTTATGTAATAAAACAAGCATTTCCATAACAAAGTATAATAAAAAAGATGATTGTACATGAAACTGTAACTCTACTATGCATAACTTACTACTCCTTTCAGATATACAACCAAATTGTCATGTAATTTTGTTTCCTTTTTTTCCTTCCCTCCCCTAGATATATATATTATATTATATATATGTATATCTCCTCTCCTCTCTCTCCTCTCTCCTCCCTCCTCTCTCTCTGCCTTCCCCTATAAGTCACCAGGCTCTGGCAAGGCTGCACAAATTAATTTATGGGCTTGAAACAAAACTCAGCTCTGCCCTCCCTTCCCTGACCTGTGGAAAGCCAAAAGTCAGAAACTGGCTCTGGCTGGGACAGCATTGCAGCTATATTCTGTACTGCAAAAGCTCTTAGCCAGAGAACTGAGGAACAGAGGAAACTGGGGTCGGATGCCAACATGTGCATGATTCATACATCCATCTGTGGCCAGTTATGTCCCCACAGAAGTCACTTGAGGCAGAGACTGAAGTTGGTAAAATGTGAATTACTCAATTTGGGAGGATGTTGCAATATCTTTGAGGTTCAATCCCTAGGGAAACTGCCATCTAAAAAGGAGGAGTCAGTAAACAATAGGGGAATATAAAGAAATTAAGATTACCAAAGATCTCAAGAAAAAGAAAACTTTAAGACCTTGAACATAAGCAGATAAACCAACAGGGAATGTATTAATAACCAAAGAGACTATGGCCGCGAGATCATCTAAATAAGTCCACATCTATAAATAAATATTGCCGGACAAAGGAAAAAGAATCAGCATTTGTTGAGGCAAAATATTCTATGAATTCCCAAGACAGCATGAAAGCATGTCAGAATGTTCCTGAATGGTTTTAAGAGAAAAATAAGAATCATGAAAGCAAAATTTATGGCCAATACAAAAGAAATAATTGGCAAAATAGAAAACCTTGAATTCCCAGTGACAAACTTCACTAAAGAAATGAGAGAATAATTGATTGTGAATGAAAATACAAAAAAGTAAAGGACATTTTGGAAGAAGAGAAGCAAAAAAATAGAAACATTAAAAGAAAACATGGGAGAGGATTCTGGGAAGATGGTGGAGTAGGTCAGAAATTTCAAGCTCTCCAGATTTCCTCCACAAATGACATAAAATAGAACCTCAGGGCAAACATAGAGCAGTAAAAATAAATAAAAGTGGAGGCAGAATGGTGGTCCTCCTGGGACAATCTAAGGAGATCTGAAGAAAAATCCCAGGACAAGGTTTGATTCTTGTGAAGAGTAAATACCTCCAGGCGAGTTCTGCTTTAACAGCAAGTCACAAGCCTTGGAGTTAGCTGGGTTGGGAGGCTACCTCAGCCCCAGCCACAGGAACAGTTACCCCCGGGGACAGTGAGGAGCACTTACAGGAGACTGGAGGTCTTGGTTTCAGTTTCAGGCCACAGGGGAGAACTGAAGGAGGATCTGAGGCCAGAGGCACCATCCCTCATACCCCAGGACTAAAAGTGATTACAAAAACTAAACTGCTACAAATTTAAAAAAAAATGAACAGGCAAAGGAGAAACAATCCAACCATAGAGAGTTATTATTGGAATAGAGAAGATGAGGATTCATCTTCAGAGGAGGATACTGAAGCAAAGAAACTGTCCTCTACCCCAAAGAGTAACCCCAAATGGTCACCTACCCAAAAATAATTCATAGAAGAACTTTAAAAAGACTTTAAAAATCAAATGAGAGAGACTGAAGAAAAACTGAAAAATAAAATGAAATAAGAACAATCCAAGAAAAACAAGAAGATTGTGAAAAGAAAGTCAACCAATTAGAAAATGAGATCCAAAATCTTAAGGAAGGAAATGACTTCTTGAAAATCAGAATTGGACAAGAGGAAACCAGCAAAGTTATAAGACATCAAGAAATAATAAAACAAAATACAAAGAATGAAAAAAATAGAAGAGAATGTGAAACATCTCATAAGAAAAACAACTGATCTGGAGAACAGATCAAGAATAGAAAACATAAGAATAATCAGACTACCTGAAAGCTATTATCAAAAAAAATCTTGATATAATAATACAAGAAATACAAGGAAATTGTCCTGAAGCATTAGAACAAGAGGGCAAAGTAGAAATAGAAAAAATCTACTGATCACCACCTGAAAGAGATCCTACAAGGAAAACCCACAGCTCAAGGTTAAAATATTATGAATGACAAAACCAAAACAATTTAAATATGGCAGTGCCACAATTAGAATCATAAGACTTAACAGCAGTGACATTAAAAGACCACAGGTCTTGGAATGCTATATATTGAAGAGCAAAAGAACTGAGGTTCCAGCCAGAAATATCATTCCCAGCAAAGCTAAGCATAATCCTGAACAAAAAAAAAATGGATATTTAATGAATTTTCAGACTTTCAGGATTTGGTTAAAAAAAAAACCTGAATTTAATAGAAGACGACATACAAAGTCAAGAGAAATATAAGATGCATACCAAAGACTAATTACAAGGGACTCAATAAAGACAGACTGTTTACCTTTTATGTACATAAAATGTATGCCTAAGACTGTTGTTAGTAATTGGATAGTTCATAAGAAAGATGACTGAGTACGATATGACTTTTAAAAGTAAAGCCATTTAGGAACAGCTAAAAAGAGTAATCACACAAACGAGGTACAAGAGGAAGAACTGACACAGAGGAATTAGATGGGGGAAGAGGGCTTTTAGCTCTGGAAACCTATTTTCATCAGGAATGGGCTCAAGGGGGAATAAGACATATCTATACAGAAGAGCATAAAAGTCTTCTAAATTAAGAAAGAAATACAACACTAAGGGCATAGAGAAGAGGAAAGGATAAGGGAGGGTTCTTTAGAGGGGAGGGTGAGAGGATAGGTTAAAAAGGGGTATAAAAGGATGTTTAGATTAATGGGAATGGGAGGATAAGGGAGGGATCCCTGGAGGGGGAGTAGGGTCAGTAATAGGAGGAGAAGGTAGTATGTAGAAATAAAGTAGAGGAGTCAGGAGGGATAGGAAATAGGAGAACATACATAAAATAAAAATCAGGAATATAATTTATTAGGGAAAAAGGAACAGGGGTGGTAATCATGATCTCAGACAAAGTTAATGCTAAAATAGATTTAATCAAAAGAGAAAAATAGGGAAACTAGACTATGTTTCAACCATATTTATCAATGTTGTTTTGGACTATTTAAAACAACTAGATGGTATAAGGTGGGAACATTGCTGTGGAGTAGGAAATGATGAGTTGGTGGACTTAGAAAAATATGGAAAATCTTGGACTTATGAAGGAAGAGGTTATCCACCCTCAGAGAACCAGGATAAATAAGTATAGTATGGTCTTACATAGATGCACGTGAATGTATATATCTATATATAAATATGATTATTGATATCTAAGTATATATATGTGTGTATGTATATATGTGTATATATGTATATATTTGTATGCATATATCTATATATCTATGTATATGTGCATATGTGCACATATGTGTGTATATAAATATATATGTATGTGTATATACATGTACATATACATATACATATATCCATGCTTAATTGTAGCCTTCTGGCAAGGGGAGGAGGGAGGAAGAAGGAAAAAAGAACAAAGTAAGAAGTGCACAGCAAAGAACAAAAGAAAACTTATAAGGAAGCAAAGAAAAACTGGACAGCTCTCAACACAATGTATAGCATTTATTATATAGGCTTTCTTTCAATGGAAATGTATTGCTGTATATTTTTAATCCTCTCTCACATTCTGCTGTGCACATGGCAATGCTTTTCTTTCTTTTCTTATTTTGTATTATTTTAGTTTTAGTATTTAAGTTTGTTTCTTTTTTCTTTTCTTATTTTGTATTTACATTTAAAATAAAAAATTTATAAATAAAAAAAGAAAACTACACAAGCAAAACACACTGATCTTGCAGACAATGTATGCAGGCAACTTAAGGATTATAGAACTTCCAAAAGCACACAAGTGAAAAAAAAAAAAACCCTGAACATCATAATGCCAGAAATAACATCAGAAAACTTACTAGAATTTTTGGGCACAGAAAACAAAAGTTCCAATCTACAGAATCCACATGGTGCCTCCAGGAAAAAAAAACCTGTACTGCAAACTCCAAGACACATGGTAAACTTAACAATTACAATGAAAAACAACACATTCTGCAAGGGACCAGAAGAAAGACCTTCAAATATTAAAGAAAGGAAATTTGAGTAGTACAAAACTACTGTGTACCCATTAAAAACCACAAGAGAGAATGGAATAGTGTGTTCTGAAGAGCAAAGGAGCTCAAGATGCAATCCAAGGTAACACACCCTGCAAATTTGAGCCTGAGCACTAATGTTAAAAAAGATGGAAATTCAATTTTAAAAAAGACATTTGAAACATCCCTACAAAGTAAACCAGACCTGAGAAAACTATTTGCTTTGTAAACACTTCAAATAAGAGAAATGTAAGAAAAGTAAACAAATACAGACAGCAACTAAGGAAGGTACAGGTAATTAAACAAATAATCCCAGAAAAATAAAGGGAGGACAACGAAAATGAATATGTTTAGGAGGACTGAAGCAGAGGATGAGATAAGAAGGTAGGAGGTTGGAGTTAAAGGAAGGAAGTTCAGATTACTGGATTATGGATATACAATAGTGAGCGATAATATCCCTAAAGATGTTACTGTCCCTGAGTGTGACTGATGTAAAGTGAAGATGGGGGCTATAAAAGTTTAGAAGCTTGATGAAATAAGAGGTCAGGGTACTCTTGAGAACATCTATGCGTATATTGGAGTACCCAAATGTCCAGGCAGGGATTGGAATAAAGAAGAAAACTGTAAATTGAGAATTAAACTGCTTAAGGAAGGAAGAGAAACAACATAAAGGTTAGTAGATCATTGGGACAAACAGGTGGACCAGGTGATAAAAATGAATGGAGTGACTCTAAAAAGAGAAGTTGCTGCACAATAACAGGAAAGGAATAGCCTAGAAATGAGAGTGAGGATCAAGGAATAAGTCTCCTCTTCCTCCTTGTGGCCTAGTTCTTCATGGGCCATAAAAAAGGAAGTACTTGAGAATGTGACCAGTGTTGCCTGCCCTTATGGAGAAAACTATGTTTCTATTAGAGCAAGTGAGAAGTGAATAAATCCAAGAGAAAGAGAAAGCTTATTAACAATAGGCCAGATATTCCAGAGGGTGCGGTGGAACAGAAGCAACATAGGAAATGATGGACTTGGGGGGTGAGTGACAGTATGAGGAGATACAACAGGGAGGATGATTATTTTGCCCTTCATAGCATAAAGGATAACCAGTTGACCAATAACCTCACCCTTGAGGGTCCAGCAATGATAGAGCATGAATATGGGGCCCCTTACTGCCTCTGACTCTCAGAGGCTCAAAATCTCTTATAGTTCACAGACTCTAGTATCAAAGGAAGAAAAGAGGGTGACTGGGTTCTTGGGAACTGGGCTGTTGCACTGAATTGGAATTGAAGCCTCATCCCAAAATGGCCACACAGAAGAATGCACACCCAGAAGATGTACATGACACAAACACCTTGATTCCCATTTTTGCATTATGACATTAAGGGGTTTTCCTTACCTCTATCGTGTAGTATCCATATTTTTCTTTTTTGATTCGGTATGTGTAGATCGTATTTTGAAACCTGTGGAAAAATAACAGTGATTATACTATACCAGAATCCACTTCACCTACTCCAATCCCATGGTGATTTCCTGACAAGACTTTTGCTGTTTAAGCTTCCAGAAAACTGAAGTCCCAATTTTGAGGCCCTCTATATTCTTGAAAGATTAAGGAACACATTTCTTTGGCCAGTGAGCTTGAATTCTTTGAATTTTGGCAAAAATCTAGGATGGGATACCAAAGAGATACTGGAAAACAGTTAGAAAAAGAAAAGGTAGAGAGAGGATTCTGGAAAGATGGCAAAGCAGGTCAGAAAATTCTAAGCTCTCAAGATTTTTTCTCCACAAAAGAGACAAAATAGCGCCTCAGGGCAAAGAGCTGTAAAAAATAAGAGTAATAGGGGCACAACAGGGGTCCTCCTGAGACAATCTAAGAAGATCTGGAGAAAAATCCCAGGATGAGGTTTGGTCTCTGTGAAGAAAAAACACCCCTAGAGGTTAGCTGGGTTGGGAGGCTGCCTCTGCCCCAACCACAGGAATTTTTAGCCCAGGAACAGTAAGGGAAATTGGGTATCTGAGCTGGGGAAGATAAAGGGAACCTCCGCTGAGAAGGAATGCCAGACCGAGCTATGCTGCAGAGATGTGGCTGGGGGTGAGAAGGAACCAGCACATGTCTGGTGAGTGTAGAAGCAGTGGGATAGGGATGCTGCTGGCCGTGGGCACTTACAGGAGGCTGGAGGTCTTGGTTTCAGTTCCAGGCCAGAGGGAAGAATTGAATATCTGAGACTAAACACACCATTCCCCATACTCCAGGACTACAGGTGATTACAAAAATTAAGCTACTACTACAAAAAAAATTGCACAGGCAAAGGAGAAAGAATCCAATCATAGAGAGTTACTATGAAAAAAGAGAAGACCGCGATTCATCTTCAGAAGAGGATACTAAAGCAAAGAAACCCTCTTCTGTCCCAAAGAGCAATGTCAAATGGTCACCTGCCCAAAAAGAATTCATAGAAGAACTTAAAAAAGACTTGAAAAATCAAATCAGAAAGACTGAGGAGAAACTTTGAAAAAAATAAGAACAATCCAAGAAAAACAAGAAGATTATGGGAGAAGAAAGTCAACCAATTAGAAAAGGAGAGCCAGAATCTTAAGGAAGAAAATGACTCCTTGAAAATCAGAATTGGGCAAGGGGAAGCCAGTGAAGTTATAGGAGATCAAGAAATAACAAAAGAAAATATAAAGAATTAAAAAATAGCAGAGAACATGAAACATCTCACTAGAAAAACAACTGATCTGGAAAACAGATCAAGAAGAGAAAACATAAGAATAACTGGACTACCTGAAAACTATGATCAAAAAAAGAATCTTAATACAATAATACAAGAAATAATTAAGGAAAATTGTCCTGAAGCATTAGAACAAGATGGGAAAGTAGAAATAGAAAAAATCCACTGATCACCACT